TAGTTGTGTGTGTGTGTGTGTGTGTGTGTGTGTGTGTGTGTGTGTGTGTGTGTGTGTGTGTGTGTGAAATCCTTTGCAGCTTTACCCCTCGAGCCCTGAGGTGGATGCAGACAATGATCTTTGCTGTGAGAGAAATAAACCAACGGCAAGACCTTTTGCCAAACGTATCTCTGGGCTACCACATCAGGGACAGTGGTGATGACATACCTGTATCTGTAAAGAGGTCTCTTCTCCTGGTCAATGGACAGCCAGAGAAGGGCAGTGGACAAAGCTGTGAAGATATACAAAAGCAGCCAAGCCCTGTAATCGTAGGAGAGGCATCATCAGGAGTCTCCATGGCTGTTCTGAGAACTCTAGGCTCCTTCAAAATACCTCTAGTAAAACTTTTAACATTACATCAATTAACAATACTTTTCCTTTGTCTTAATAATGTATATTGCGATCTTGGTGCATGTTGTCATGTTATTAGATTTAATTATGGTCAAATATTTACATACAGAAACACACAAAACTATATCTGTGCGTCATTTTGCAGTTTGCATTTTTATAAAGTATATATTGATTTGTACCATTGGCAGTGTTATTACAGTGATACCTGGTTGATTGTATTGCTATTCTTACTAAAATATTGCATTTTCATATTTTAGGTGAGCTACTTTGCATCCTGTTCATGTCTCAGTAACAAGAAAGACTTTCCAGCATTCATGCGGACAATGCCAAGTGATCTATTTCAGATTAAAGCTTTGGTAAAACTTGTTCATTATTTTCAGTGGACATGGGTCGGGGTGATCGGTGTGGATACAGACTATGCTCGGTTTGCCATCCAGCTCTTCTTGAAAGAGTCAGAAAGATTTAATATTTGTCCTGCTTATGTCCACCTTTATCCTGTTGCACTCACGCAAGATGCAGTGGAGGAACTTGTGAATATTTTAAAATCTTCTTCTGCCACAGTCATAATCAATTTCTCCGTGGATTCATATCTGCATGGCGTCCTGAAAGAGTGCAGACGGCAAAATGTTACTCATCTTCAGTGGATTGCCAGTGAGGCCTGGGCCACTTCAAAAGTCCTCTGGGATGATTTTGGTGATTTGTTGAAAGGAACATTAGGGTTTGCCATACGGAGAGCTGATATCCCACATCTCGGTAATTACCTCAGAAGAGTAAGTGTTTCTGTTGTTCAAACATCCAATTTTCTCTCTGAGTTTTGGGAAGAGACTTTCCATTGCCGGCTGAATGGGTCCGTAACTCCTCATGTACATGGAGAAGAGGCACAGAACTGGCCACCCTGCAATGGCAGTGAGAGTCTGGACGATGTGTACACTCTTTATTCTGATGTGTCACAACTCAGAGTCTCCTACAATGTTTATAAGGCTGTGTATCTTATAGCACATGCACTACATGACATGAGCAAATGTGAACCAGGAAAAGGCCCCTTTCAGAATGGGACATGTGGGAGTCTGTATCCAGTTCTGTCATGGCAGGTGTGTGTTATTCAATTTTACATTCACTGCCTATATGTACATACATGTATTTTAATGGGTTTGCTTTACTTTGCATTATCTTGTCCCCCTAACTTCATCTAAGCTCCTGTACTACATGAAACGAACACATTTCACAACATTGGGGGATGAGGTCCGATTTGATGATAATGGTGATCCCATTGCATCCTATGACCTGATGAACTGGCAAAGAGGGTCTGATGGCTCCCTTCAGCTAGTGAGGGTGGGATTCTATGATGCCTCCCTTGAAGACAACAAAGACCTAGTAATAAACGAGCCAGTAATTATGTGGCACAGAAGAGAGAAGGTGTGTGCCACTACACCTGTAACCAGATATTCCTTTCTATGTTTGCTTTTTCTTCAGCTCAACTTAATGTTTATAGCTGAAGTAAGAATCCAGTGTTATAATTTTAAACGACAATTCACTCTTGCTTTTATTTTATACTAAATATTGAAATATATTTATACATTGTATTTTTTAACTGTTTTTATAGATGATCTAGCAACATTTTAGGTTTTCACATTTGCCAGTTAAACTGACAAATGCTATACATAGCATAATTATCTGTTGGATATCTCTCTATGCAAGGAAATTATTTATTGATATGAACTCTCATTGAGTTCAGACTATGTAGTGTTTTTTACTGCTTTTTTTCTGCTGTGGTCATTAGGCACCAGAATCATTGTGCAGTCAAAGCTGTCTGCCAGGCTCCAGGAAGGCCAGGAAAAAAGGAAAGCCTGTCTGCTGTTTTGACTGTATACCATGTGCTGAAGGAGAGATTAGTAATCAAACAGGTGTGATCCTCATGGCTCCTCAATTAATGGTATTTTGAGAAGAAAGGAATGAAAAAATAGTGTTTTATGCTCCACTTTCCCCCCAATTTTTCCACAGACTCAATTAATTGTCTGACATGTTCAAGGGAAACATGGCCAAACCAAGCCCAAGACCAGTGCATCCCCAAAACTTTAGAGTTTTTGTCCTTTCAGGAGCCCTTGGGAAAAATACTATGGGCATTTTCAGCATTTGGAGCCTGTGCAGCATTAGCAGTGCTTGTTGTGTTTATATTGTACAGAAAGACTCCAGTAATACGAGGAAACAATATGGAGTTAAGTTTCCTTCTCCTCCTGTTCCTTTGCGCATGCTTTCTGATTGGCCTAACCTTTTTAGGGAAGCCCACTGACTGGTTTTGTCGGATTCGTTATCCAGCCTTTGGAATCAGCTTTACGCTCTGTATTTCATGCATCTTGGCAAAAACTGTAGTAGTTTTAATGGCTTTCAGGGCCACCCTCCCTGGCAGTAATGTCATGAAGTGGTTTGGCCCTGCTAAACAAAGATCGAGTGTAATCTTGTGCACTTTTGTGCAAGCACTTATTTGCATTATATGGTTATCAACTAATCCTCCTGTTGCATCATATAACACTAAGTTCATGAGTGCAACTCTGACTGTTGAATGTACTGTGGGATCTGAAATTGGGTTTTGGTGTGTGCTTGGATATATTGGTTTCCTATCTTCCTTGTGCTTCGTATTGGCATTTTTGGCCAGGAAACTACCAGACAACTTTAATGAGGCTAAATTCATCACATTCAGCATGCTTATATTTTTTGCTGTGTGGATAACCTTCATTCCAGTTTATGTGAGCTCTCGTGGAAAGTATATGGTTGCTGTACATGTCTTTGCTATTCTAGCTTCTGCATTTAGTCTCTTGTTGTGTATATTTGCTCCTAAATGTTATATTGTACTTTTGAAACCCGAGAGAAATGACAAAAAGCATATGATGAAGTAACAGTACTCAAATAAAACCAATTAAGAGGCAAACCCTTCATAAATAAAGATACAATAAAACAATTTCATGACTTTATAAATTGCCTGGTTGTTATAACATTTTTAATTGCACTTTGCTGTCGTTATTACTATAATTATCATTCCAAATGACAGATTTGATACAACTGCTCTAGAAAGCTGTCCAGAAAACTGGAAACTGGGAAACCTCATTCTCCCACAGTTTGTGAAAGTCAGTCATAATGGTAATAATGAGCAGACACAGGACAAATTATTAGTGGTTGTTTCCCAAAATGCATACTAAATACTATGTATTGAGGATTAAGGAACAACCTAAAATTTTAGTACAAGATATGATTGTTGATGTGAAATCCACCATTTCAAATGCAGTTGCGGCAACAACAAGGCCCTGCTGCTGCTGCATTTAAGTTTTTACCATGCACTTGGATATTCCTATTGACATGATCATTATGTATACTAGAATGAAACACAGACACAGAAAATCTAACATAATAATAAAATACAAGATGAGTAAAGTTCGTAAATTAAGTTTGAAGTTGGCTTGAAAATGCCTTTTGTGAAAGTATGAGGAAGTTGTAATAACTTGAATTTTGGAAGTTTAGATATATAAATTAGATATATGTAGATAGCATGTTGTTAGCATGATTTAACACATTGCTAACATGATTTACCTTGATTAGCATGTTGTTAGCATGTTTTAACCTGATTAGCATGTTGCTAGCATGTTGTTAGCATGGTTAGCCTGTTGTTAGCATGTTGATAGAATGTTTCAAGCGTGATTAGCATGCTGTTAACATGTTGCTAGCTTGATTATCATGTTGCTAGCATGGTTTTAACATGTTGATTAACATGTTGTTAGTATAATTAGCATGTTATTAACCTGTCTCATGATTAGCATGTTACTAGTATGTTGTTAGTATGATTAGCAAGCTACTAGCATGTTACTAGCATGTTTCTAGCATGATTAGCATGTTATTGACATGTTGTTAACATGATTAGCAAGTTACTAGCATGTTAACATGTTTCTAGCATGATTAACATATTAATATCAAATTGTTAACATGATAACCTGTTTCTAGCATGTTGTTAACATGACTAATATGTTGTTAACATGTTCCGAGAATTATTAACATGTTGCTAGTATGTCTTTAACATGATTAACATGTTGTTAACCTGTTTTTAACAACATTTAACATATTGCTAACATGAAGGCGGGAATCAGGTAAAAAAAAACAGCTAAAACCAAGTAAAACCAGCCGATTTAGTCACAAAAACAGCTTAAACCCAGCAGATTCAGTAAAAAAAACACAAAAAAACAGCTAGTTAAACCAGTTAAAACCAGCTACATCCAGCTGATTTAGCAAAAAGCCAGCTAAAAAAAAAAAAAAAAACTTTAAAACAGCTAAAACCAGCCTAGGCTAGTTGTCTGGTCTTAGCTGGTTTAAGTTGAAAGTAGCTGGTTTAACCCCTTAACCCGCTGAGTGCTTGTCATATTATCACAACTATTCAGTGTTTTCAACCATATAATGCTTATTTTAGGTTTCAGACATTTAAATTGTAATATCATCACAAATATTCAGTGTTTTCAACCATATAATGCTTATTTTAGGTTTCAGACATTTAAATACACATAAATACAAGCAAAACTATACATTTATAGTTTGTATAATACACACCGATGTCTATGGAAGCGACAATAATAATCAATTCAATTATAATTTGACGACATGTTTTATTGATATCATATAAGCAGCCAGAGACTCATCGCGCCTTCAAAAAAATCCAACTGAAGTGCGTGGACCAAAAAAGGTTACCCAAAGATGAAGAGCTTGAAAAGAGTCCGCACATTCAAATATTAAAGCATCACAAGCGAGATGAGAACGATATATGCAGTTTACTGAATAAAACAAGGCAAACGTTTCGGTCACATGTTGACCATTTTCAATGCCAAGCTAACAGTGTTAGAACTAGAAGCCATCTTAATTTAAGGAATCACATGATAATTAAAGAGATCACATGATCAATCAGGACACACACAGAGAAAAAAAATAAATAAATAAAAAAAGGCCACAATGTGTGTATATGTAGAGCAATGGATAATTTACATCAAATTAGAGAACAATGGTTGTCTGTTGGAGTTAACAAAAGTACTGTTCATAAAAAACAAGACAATTGAAGTTCTTCATTTAATCCCTTCGGATATACACAGTCCATATAATAGATCCACTTAGCTTCACATTGTAACAGTCTTTTGTTAGAATCACCACCTCTTCTTGAACTGATCAATCTCTGAATACCTGTAAATCTCATATCACTAAGTTTATGGTCAGCATCCACAAAATGTCTGGCTACAGGAGACTGAATGTCCATCCTTCTAATAGAGCTCCTGTGCTCGTTGATACGGGTCTTTAATTGACGATTAGTCTTGCCAATATACTGTAGACCACATGGGCATGAAATAAGATATCATATACACATTGTGTAGGTGACTATAAAGTTTAGTCTACTCTTCTCCAAGTTCACCTGAAACTTACTTTAATGTCTTTCGGGAGGAGAGAATGAATTTAAGTGTTGTAAATCCCACAGCTCAGATTCAGTGCGAACTAACATGGCGGCGCCTATCACCCCCTATAGATCAACTAACATGGCCATTATAAAGGTGATTAAACTACTAAATACATTTACTTACACGTATTTGAGAATCGGAATATCAGATATTTCATAATATTGTGAACACGTTAGTGAATGTTTTGAATAAAAAAGAAAAAACGTAATAAAAGTGATACATGTCGTCACCTTGGAATTATAAGGTTCTATCTGCGTTCTGAGCAGTTTTGAGATATTGAGCTTCAAAGTTTTTGCATTCCATATAGCAAAAATTATATGGGGAACAAGTTTCTTTAAAACATGAAAATGACAGGGACCCTAAATGTATTCTAAATGTACAATATCAAAATCCTCTCAAATTTGTAAATGGGGATTTCTGGAATGGGTCAAATGCAGAAAATGATTTGTACTATCTGGCAAAAAAAATTAACTGAAGCAATAATTTTCAAGAAACACAAACAGTTTACTTATAATTTGTTTTAAAACATAAAATTAGTGTTGTAGCAATGTGTTGACATGAATGAGAAAGTTAAATTTAATGGTTTTTATGACATTTATCTCATATTTTAAATTCATATTTTTTTCCTGTTCATGTTAAGCATAAAAGGCAGTGCTAAATATTTTTTCCAGTGCAGATGTTAAATTTAGGCAGGAATATGGTGGGTAATTTAACACATTATTGCAGGAACCATTTAAGTTTAAGTTTCCTTTTGTTTAGACAGAAAGCAGCTACTGTAATACATCTGACCAGGACTTTATTCCACAGAAAGTGGGACAGGTAACATGGCTTTCTCTATAGACATCAGTATGGCTGAAATAACATGCTAACGTTTATTGTTGTAATTAAGACCCAATCAATTCAATTGTTGACTTTTTGACTTTTAAGGCTTAATATTGTAAAATACAAATAAAAAACTGCAAGAAAACAGACAATGAGCACGTTTACATGCACACCAGTAATGTGATATATTTCCTTCTTTCTTTACTGCAAGATGTTTGCTCGGTCTAGATGCGCTTAAATATGCACTAATGATGCGTTCCTGTCACGTATCACACACGTGCACTTCAATAAGCTGACAGAAAGCGGGTTATTGCATTTACATGCCGTGCGAAATCGGAGTAAGAGGCAAAAAACTACCTGTTGCGACCGGTTTATGCTTATGCCGTTTATGACCTTACTCCGATAAAAGAAAACGGGTTACTGCGTTTACATGACCAAGTGCGTTTTCAGCTTATTAAGCATAACCGGCTTAAGAACGTGCATGTAAACACGTTCAATGCTTCAGCAAAGGTGGTTAACAAAGTTTAATAAACATTGAAAAATGTTTCACTATAAATATATAAATTACTTCAACTATGCAACAACTCAGTTTTTACCAACAATGTAAAATTGATCATTTCATCTCACTTTAATCCAGTGTGCC